TACCAGGACATTATGTATTTGGCTGTGTGCGTGCGTGAGTGTGCATCTTTGTGTCTGTCCACAGCTAATCTGGCACACTGCTGAACCCATGAGCCTAATATCTTTTTGTTCTCATCTATGGATGTATGCTCAAGGACGTCTCGTGGTTGCAGTGATTCACACTTTTTTGCAAAAAACATTTTGTTGACAACATATTTATTGACTGTTTCATGCCGCCATTGACCGCTGCCTCCTCGCTCCTCTTAACCGGCCAATAGGGGCTGCAAAGTGATCAACAGCTGCTTCAGCTTTAACTGTCGTTCCCGCTACGGATTACATGAACGACGTGAGCGTGGAGTATTTCTTTTATCCTGGGATCTCCATCCTCTCGGATATTTTCTGCCATGCCTTCGAGTCTAAGTCCTGGTAGGATTGCAAAGTACAGCTGAATATAACTTCTGTCTCCGTCTTGTGGTGCATTTGGGGTCAAAGTTGAAATCAGAGCATTCTGCCTCGCTTAGGTTTGCGTAGCCACTCTCTATTGGCTAATATCACGCGTTTACGTGTGCTAGCCCTGTAATGCCGTGTACAACTGCAAAGCAACCACCTACAAGTCACCTTCAATGGAAGCCGGTGACATGAAGCTACAAACTGACGCCCGACACTTGACGGTTGTGACACGCTACTGCTCTCAGCGCTCCAATGACTCGGTGAAGCGTCGACCAATTAAATGTTTTGTTATCACCTTTTCCGGTCGCCTTCTCTCTCCTTAAAGTTCTCGTTCTGTTCTGTCTAAGAAATGGAAGAAAAATGTATTCTTGCTGTTTGCCAGTTCCCAGTGCACTTTAACGGCATAACTACATCAGCGAGCGCAACACTTCAATGGCGACAATGTAGCGGGACACGTTTGGCAGCCTTGTGTGAACACAGCATATTTGCATAAAGCTCAAGTAACCTGCTGCGGTTCTTTCTCCATCACCGGCTACACACGCATCAACGCACATGTATAGTATCGAAAAATACGGCGCACTGCAGATAGAGCTCCAAAAGTGTAGTCGGGCTTCACAAAGAACAGTAGTAACACAGCAGAATGTAATCACTGGACCAGAATGAGTTCATACAAGAGATGAAGTAGTCACATGACGGAGCATTTCCTGCAGCTTAACATGAGAATGGAGCTTCCCCCCCCCCATAGTGATATCGTCACAGTAGCAGCTAGTGCAACTGGGCCCAACTCAAGTTTAAAAAAAAACAGCCAACATGTGCGTGGCAAGAAAGTTAGTATTTTTCTTCTTTTTTCTCACGAATTACAGTTTATGGCGGCCTAACTAAGCTTCCAGCTGGTTTTGGTTTATTTTCGGGACCCAAAAAGAGATTTAATACATAGCAGAAAAAGCATTTTAAAAAGACTTTTTAGTGCATTAGTGATTTAATAATCAGGGTATTGTGCCTACAACTCGGTTTAAAACAGGCTCCTCTCTTCTTAGTTATAAAATGATATCAAACAGCGGTCACAATGGATGTCTGATTCTATCGCACTCCGTTGTCTACATGTTGCTTTTATTTCCTGGCCCTTAACACTCCACGGCTTTGTCACGATTCGTGACCTCGCTCGGGCCAGTTTCAGTCACATGTCCAGGAAATCATAACAAGGGATAAAGCCGACTTTGTTCGAAAGCGTCCGCCGGGGGCCCGATGAATGCCCTTATCACACCGCCATCGCACCTGTTAGTGGGCTGGTGTCCGATCGGTATCGCACGCGTCGGGGCTGCTGCGGCGGTTTACCTGAAACAGCATGCTAATTATGCAAATACACGGTGGGATTTGAAGAGGCTCTTTGTACTTCACCCTCCTTGAGGGGGAGGGCGGGTTAGCCGGGTCAGAGGTAACCGGGGGAGTAGTAAAAAGACAGGCGTTACCGGTGAGGGAGAGCCAGTCGCCATGACTCGTGTCAGCAGGTCTGTTCCAGCGACGGAGCGCCGCTGGAAGTCCTCGCATCCGCTCCTCCCCACCAGGTCAGTACAGACAACTGCAGGCTACATGGACAATCCGCTCTCTTAAATCTAGTTTTTAGACATTAGAACACTTTGTTACAAATACATTTTACTTTCTTTTTTTTTTTTTTCGAATCTGTTTTCAAATTTTTCCGAGTTTTATGAAAACTTATAAACATCCCTCACTGATCGTCAGCCAAAGGAGACGATGCAGGTTAAGAGTCACAGAGCAGATAAAAAAAGGAAAGGAAAAAGAAGATTTGCCGTGTGATGTGGTGTGTTTCAGAGATGTTTCAGTTTTCTGGAAGCTCTCTAAACGTGATCAGCCCGAGCCGGGCCTCCGCGGGTTTAGACAGGAGCCCTCGCTGGCACGGCAAGCCGGCTCGGCTTTATCGCCTCTAAGCAAATGCTGCTAAACATTTCCCCAAACATTTGTTTGTACATCAGCTCGCGCTTGTCTCGACACGACTGCACAGCGTGGTTGGAAAGCAAACCGCTGCATTGCCCTGTCACGAAAAGACGCCAACAGCTTGAGAAACACACGCAGCGCAAAAAACGTTTCTCACGCAAAGTGCGACGGCCCTGGCTGTAGAAATGTGCTAAGATCAGTGTGTGAGATATTTCACTTTGTGTGTGTGTGTGCGTGTGTGTGTGTCGTTTGATCGACCGCCAGCCATGTTGTGGTTTTCTGCCTTTTGATATGTTCCTGCAGGAAACCTTCTGCCATTCCAGCTGTCAGTCTCAGGGTTGACAATGGGAATGTCTTTATTTGTTTATCACAGAGTAAAACCTCTTTAGATGTCTGACACTTTATCCTGCTGCTCTCAAATGGCTCCTGGCTCTCTCTCTCTCTCTCTCTCTCTCTCTCTCTCTCTCTCTCACTCTCACTCTCACTCTCACTCTCTCTCACTCTCTCCTATTGTGCTCTCTCTGCTATTCTGCCTTGGGCACTAGTTGCGGAGTGGCATGGACGACTAAACCCAACAAGCTGCTTGTGTTGGGGGGGAGGGGGGGGTGGCAAAGAAAACACTGAGAGAAAGAAGAAGGAAACAAAAGAAGAAAAAGAAAAGAAAGGGAGAAGAACAAAAGGGATTTGCGTTGCCAATCCCCCGGAGGGGGGAATGTTAGCTTTATTTATTTCTGACGTGTTACAACTTGTTGGGTAACTGACGGTTTTGTGCGAAGTGATTCTTGTGTCGTGGGAAGTGTACGGTTACACAGTCGTGCTCCCCCTCTGCGGCCACGTGTTGTAGTTCAGCGTCTGGTTTTGCGCCAAAATTCCGTGACAGTTATAAGGAGACAAACAAGTTGCATGTTTGTCTCCATTGCAGTTTCACTTGGTCGAACAGACAGGTGTAAATAGAGATGAGGCGGTGAGATTGCACTGTGGCCCCTGGGGGTCGGGGGCCGTAGAGAGAACAGGTCCTCCAACAATGTGTTAACCGTTCCTCTGCAATTGAGTCAGATTGGAACCTTAGAAATATTCCTGTGTTCACAAAAGAACTTAGTTAAACCTAAACTGGTGTCATTAGCTGTATAACTACTCGAAAAGTGAAACCCATCTCCATCAGGGTTTTCTTTTCTTTCTTTATGTAAAGTCAATAGCCAACTAAATGAGATGCTTATTCCACTTAAACTTAACTTGAATAGTTTCCTCTTTTCTTTGGTATTTTCATCATGGAATGGTGATTCATGGGTAATATGTATGTTGGTGTCGTCCAATATCTATTCGATAATGTGAAGAAACGTGGTATGGGAACGTGATTTTTAGGAGACAAAGTTGAACACAAAGAATAATTCTTGAAACAAATTGTTCAGTTCAGGTTTAAAGTTGCAGTAAATACTATTTTTGGACACTTAAGGGCAACGGAAGAAGCCTTAAACACTATTATCAAACAAACGTCTAGTTGTACACATCTAACAGGCAGACACCGAGGTGTTTTTCAATTACCACAAAGTGAACGTAGGACTGTGGTCCTTTTAGCTGCTTCGGTCTACAGTACGTCTCGCGAGCTCTCTTCACTAGCTAGTCGCTGACTTTGACAGTAGAAGTGAGGTTGATAAGAGCAGAGTTTGTGGCCCTGAGAACCAAAACAACAGGCTAAAGGAGGCTAAAGATGCTCCTGGACCTTAGGAAGAACTGGATGGTCGAGCGATGATTCTCTGTGGGTTCGTCACATTACACATGTTCATGTCATTCTGATATAAAAAGTGCTGTTCAGCAACTAACTTGACTGTTGGCCAAAATAAGCCAGCGATCCAGTGAAAATAATTGTCACTATAGCGTTAATTCACCTTGCAATTGTTGTTTTTATACTTTTCTTATTATAGTTATATAAACCTCTTTTTTGTCTCCATTTAACTGAATTTCCCGGTTTTTATTTTGACTTTATCCTATTCGTTTCCAGTGCACTTTCACTTGTTGCTTTGGAATTTCTTAGTAACAGGCTCAATGACTGGCACAAAGCTGCAGACCACACCCCTTTCTGTAAAACAAACCACACTTGATCCTCAAACAAACTTATTTGCATTGGAAGCTAAAAAATTAATAATCATCTCACACGCTCGGGTGGTTTATTTCCAGTTTGAACTCCCCAACCCAGTATCTGCTCAGTCGGAAAATATTTTTAACATGACAGAAAATGACAACAGAAGTCTAATCTTTTTATCTTTTGGTCCCTTTTTTGTTCCACTCTCTTGAGCTCAACAGCTGCTCTGAGGTCTGTTTTATTGTGATCTCTCAGCGGCGTGTGGTGAGCGCCCGTAAAAGCTGAACGACACCGTAGGTGGTCGAAAAAAAAAACAGGCCACAGTCAGATAACCTCGAGAGGAAGGCGATGCCATGCAAATCATCCAACACACGCACGCACACACACACACACCGACTACATACTGTACATGCATACGTACACAAGGTTAGGTTCCATCCACTATCGTCTACTTAAACACACACTTACTTGGGTGCAGTCGGCTGCACCCAAGTAAGTGTGTGTTTAAGTAGACGATACTTTGACTGGAGCTCCCCATTGTTCGAGCAAAAGACGCTAAAAGCATTGTTTGAGGAAAAAACAACAACAACAATGTGCTTGTAAAACACTCACACACCTTGAAGCATTCCTGGCTGTCAGCGGCTCTGTGGATCGCTGAGATTCAGCGCATACCTCAGCGTTGGGTGACACACAGAGCCCGTGCGGAGGCGTGTGAAAGCCACCTGTGGCAGCTCTACAGACCAGTCCTCTGTGGAACGTGGAGGGTGGGGGGGGGGACCAGGAATAACTCGCCGTGGGACAAAACTCGGTGTGCTGCTTGCCAGCAGCCCCCCCTCACACAATCAGCCCCTCGCTGATACCGACGGTGGCTGCTGCTGTGTTGGCTAAACAGCTGCCCACCTCTCCATCCTCATTCCTCCCCAACGCTCCACACACAAACAGAAGCAGACACACACACACACCTGAACAATAGCAATCAGACAGGTTGGGCTGATACAGATCTTTGTGTGCGCCGATTGCTGTTGTTTTTATTCCAATTGTCACCGCAGATGTCAAGTATCAATGTTATCTAGATCATTGAACATTCACATCATTGGGCAGATTTATTTTTTTGGAAAATTTAAATTTTTGGACCTGAAAACAAGATTTAGGCCCAGACACGTACAAACAAACACACACACACACACAGTGTGATATCGTGTTCGAAGTCCCCCCCACACACTTGCAGCTGTATTTAATGTGCTACCAGGCTTGTTACCTACAGCAGCGTGAGATGGTTTTATTATGACTCAGAGTTTGAATTCACACACACGCCGGTGTACAAACACACACACACACACAATTCGTGCAGGTTCAGAGCTCTGGCAGACAGGTGGTGTGTGAGGTTTGTGTTGCAATGCAGTAACAACAGTGTTTGGCAGAATGCTAGCATTCTAACACCCCCCCCCCCCCCCCCTTTTCTTCTTCTTGCCAAACTCCACGAACCCGTTGAATGAATGTGTCTCTCCTTGTAGGTGCACACCTGGTTTCTTCGCCCAGATGGCACCGGCCTGGAAGTAACAAGCAGTGAGTGTAAAAGCTGATTTAACAAATGAAGTGGATCCGCATCACCCTGATGGTTGGTTACGATATATAGATATTTCTTTACTAGGTGATAATTTAGTATCATCGTCTACAGAGATTTTAGTGGTGATACGACAATACCGTGTTAACGTTTCACAAATATCTGTTGTCTTCCTTATTTATTCCAAGTGAAATATAATCAAAAAGTAAGCGAGTTATTGTTGTTTTACATGCTCATAATACTCACTCTAATATTGTGGTATTGAGTTCAGCCACATGGCCCAGCTCTGCTAGTTGGTTAAAATAATTGAAGTAACAGTAGTATTAGTAGAACATGTTTTATAATCAGCAACAGGTGCAGTAACTAGGAGTGGATATACATAGAATTGGTATGTGTAATTTATAATCTTCTAAAAAGTCAATAGAGAAACTGTTTATAGATAAAATAATCTGATGGGGTTGTGCTGCTCATTGATTTCCAACATTTGCCACAAAGGTTTCATTTACTGTAACAATATTGAAGAGGTACCACTATATCACAATAAATACCGCATCAGCACCTCGTGGCAACCTGGTAGAAACAGTGGTAGTTGTTAGACAAGTCTGTTGAAGTTGCAGTAGTAGTCCTGATGGTTGGAGCTGTAGCTGTAGTTGCAGCAGTAACAGAGCTCAGTGGGAGCAACAGTACTAGTAATGGACGGTTCATTAGCAGTAGAAGTATCAGTTGCAGCACCAGTAATGCTAATTTTGTAATATAATGATTCTACGTCATTGTTAGAATATATATATATATATATATGTATATATCATTGGTTTTCCAATAGAGGGTAACTTTTCCGTAGCAGTTAAAGGTGACATGTGGCGTTTTTGACCGCTAGCGGCGCTGTAGAACAATGTTAGCTCCATGTTTCCTTTGGTGTGTGCGCTCCTAATTCCTGCGCACGGTTTCATGCTAGCTCCGTTATTTAGCCCAGCAGGACTGTGCTGCCCACCGGCTGCTAACAGCTAACATTAACTAGCTCTCCTCCTGCCGTTTATTTATTGTTCAATTCACTCTGCGCCTAGTTTAAGAGCAAAAAACCATTGCCGCGGGTGTCTCCTGGACCACATTTCGTCATGACGACACGCGCGCATACTCGCAAGTTGCCTAGCTAGCTAGCAAAACACGGAAACGTAAACAACGCAAGTTTCAGTCAGTGCAAACAAACAGCTTTGCATTCGAGGAAGGAAATGCTTCTGAACACATTTGTTGGGGCTCTGGCCCTGAAACCTGCACCTTTTTTTTTTTTTTTTTAATCCTGAGAAAGTTCCCATTGTGGAAGAACAATAGGTTGATTGTGTTGAGCTGTCAACCACAAATACAGTCAGTCAGAGTGAGTTAACTCGTGTGACTTGCGGAGCTCTTGGTCACAGTTGATCGACGATGAAGGTGTTGGCCCCGCTCTGTGTTTTTAGGCTCGTAGTGGTGTTTTTAATCGGTGCAGCTCTTGAACGCACACATAATAAACATGCGTATACATCACTGAGGTTTGGAGCCGTGGACCCTGGCAGACAGGTGGCTTTGTTCGGAAACACAGTACGCAGGCTGGGAGAGCCGGGGGGGTCTGTAATCATTATTATGCTTTCCACAGAACGGTGGCGCTCCGCTTTTTTTTTTTTTTTTTTACCGTGTTCCCGAGTTGGTCGGCACATTCCGCTGGCATTGTTATCCGGCCTGTTTCCTGCGGCCGGGCGGCTTTTGTCAGCCTCTCCCCCATTGTCCCGGCTTCCTTTGTTCCCCGGCTCCAACAATGGCTTTTTTTCTCTCTGCCTCTTAATATATATGTGCACTTTTTGCCCTTGTGTGTTCTGTTTGTTTTGTTCTGCTGTCTGCTGTGTTTTTCTTTCCTCCCACTGCAGAGCTGGGAAATACAAAAACACACAAAAACATACACGCACACACACAAGCCTGAGTTGATATGCTCAAGTTCACTGTGGTTCAAACCTCACTCAACCTGTCCTCTCTTCCTTTCTCTCCCCTTCTCCCTCACTGAGGCGATGTCTGTCTCCCTCTCCTCTAGCCTCCTATTATTCTCTGTCACACACACACACACACACACACACACACACACTGGACAATGCGTCTGGCTGTGACTTTAGGTGGTGGTAACACAATCACCAACTAACCCTTGACCTTGACTTCAGCGGTGTCTTAAAACAGCGGTTCTCATTTGTTGTCATGAAGCATGACACATGGGATACCAGAGACCCCCCCCCCCCACACACACCCATGTGAAGAGGCTTTGGGCTATATTTTCACAACCCGTCTGCATCACCTCAACACAAGGGTACACTGTGAGGCAGCGACGACGCTGACATCCATCATTGGAGTCTTCCATACATTCTAAAATTATTTTAAATGACAGAAAAGTGAAATTTAACTACAGTAAGTTCTTTAAATATGTGGTCAGATATTTAACAGCAGATGGAGCCAGGCCTTTATTTCAAACAAGTTCATATAAAAGCTGCTACGAGGAACTTTTATTGTGTGTTGATTTTGGCGGTGTCTGTGGACGAAAGCGAGCACCAGAGTCCCTTTAGAAAACCTCTCATTGTACCGCAGCAGGGGTCTGACACTCTGCCCCCACGTAGTCCTGGTTCTGGTTCTCCCGTGCCCCCCTTCGCAGCGATATGGCCTGGATCTCCAGCAGCATTGTTTGGTTGTTGCATCCAAAGCTCTGCTCCTGGCCGGAGGAGGAGACAATGATGCTGGGTGGGGCGCTCTCCACCTAAGCCGGATCTGGGTCTGTCTGTAGCGGCCTGGTCTGAGCTGAAGGAGTTTCTGTTGAATTTTAGAAATAACTGTATTTCTATATTGAAATAGTCAATCTTCTCACCGATGGTCCTATTTACTTATGTAGATCATATAGAGGCTTTAGTATTAAATTGGTTTCATAACCAGTGAAAAATTCCTTGTAAGAACTTTCAAGATATTTTTTTATTTTTTTTAGTAAAAAAGCTCAAAAGCTCTCAAACTTCCCTCTATGTTTACTTGTTGTCTTCATAGATTTGGCATAATCTACATTTCCACAGTATTAAATCCATCACTACAAAAGTAATACCTAATACCCATCGCTCTGTTTCTCCCAGACATATGCTCTTTACTGACTCATGAATTCCAATATTTTACTTTTGATCGCTGTCAAGCTACCTTCAATAAAACGTTTAACGTGTGGTTGGTTCTGTTGGTTGACGAGTCCTCCACTATCAGACCAAAATATCTCAACAACCATTTATTGGCTTGCGATCTTTGTACAGATATTCATGGTCCCTTGAGGATGAAGCCTACTGACCGTGGCGATCCTCTGACCTTTCCTCTAGCGTTACCACAAGGTTTGCGGTTCAGACTGAAATATCATGACTGCTGTTGGATGGATTTCCATTTAAATTTGCCGCAGACGTTCAAGGTCGCCAGAGGATAAATTCTGATGACTTTGGGTGATCCTCTGAATTTACCTCTCGCACCACCAGCAGGTCAAAGTTTTCACTGACTCTGTGAACTGTCTCAACATCTACTTGATGGCTGAACTTTGGTAGACATTCGTTGTCCCCAGAGGATGAATTTTAATAATAATTTAAATCCCCTTGACTTTTCATCTAGTTCGTCCGATACTTTGGTTATTAACCAGATACCTGCAAAATGAATGGCATTTACATCAACCTCAGCTGTACTTTGTATTTAGAGCTAATCAGCAATTGTTAGCATGCTACATGCTGAACTAGAACATGGTGAACATGGTAAACATTCTACCTGCTACATCAACTCGTTAACATTGTCATTGTTTGCATGTCACCACTGCTTTGTGTTGACTGCTGGTCGACTCTTAGTCTCGTCTAACCTCTTTTCCAAAAGCTGTTGTAACTTGTTCATCTTGATAAGTTCTAAGTGAGATGTGAGATGCTGTGAGATTTGTTTCCCTGATGTGAAATGTATGTGTCAAGTCCTAAAGTTCTTCTTTTGATCTCAGCTCTTTAATGTAATTACATCCAAATCAAAACTTACCGTGGCAAGTGGCCAAACCTCGCCCCACCGAAAATGACACCGAGCTTTGTGTGCTGTCGTTCGTCTTTCAACAGAATGGTTGAGCCCAGCCCTCCAGCGCTGCACCTCCTGTCTGGCGGGGATGTCAGCATGGCGTGTGTCGCTGTCAAAGTGGAACAGGAGGAGGCCGGCGGAGGGGTCGGAGTCATAACCCACGCCGAGCCTCTCAAGAGGTCTCCCTCGCTTGATTGGTCGGGAAACCATCCGCTGGAGGCCCGCCAGCTGACCCCACCGCTCTCCCGCTCCCCTTCGGTAAGGATATTACGAAAAGGTGTGACAAGGGGCGGGAGAGATTATCGACGGGTTATTTTAGGGAAATGTCTTGGAAGTGTCACGGATTGACGTGTCCAACCGAAAGATGTACTTTGCCCCCCAACAGGAGGGCTCTCCGGGTAAGGAGCTGCCTCACAGGCAAAGCCCCATGGGACTGAGGGAGGCCAGGACGCGTGATAGACCGGAAGGACAATCCAACTTCAAGGAAGGTCTGTCTCAACTTATTATTTAAATGCTAATGGCTAATTATGGTTCACCCAGGCGGCAACCTCCTGTTCTGAGAGGGAAATTCTGAGAAGTGCGATAACATTGTTCAATATTGCGATGGCGATATGACCTGCGTTAATTAACCAAATACTAAAGCGTGCATACTGGAATCAATGAGGGCTCCTCCACTTGGGGGATATTTTCTCACTCTCCACCACAGACTGTATTTAAGAAGTGGACGTAGTCATGGTGACGTCACCCATTGGTTTGCAGACTGCCGTTATGAAGCCTCGAGTTTGCGATTTCGCCGTCGCCGTGTTGTTTTTTTGGCAGCCAATTAACGGAAGTTACCATATTTGAAATGCGGAGGAGTGACGTAGAGATGCTGTATAGGGCTCTGGTAGCTGCAGCGATCTGTCAATCACAGTAAGCCCGCCCTAAAGCATACTCTGCTTTATGGTCTGTTTGACTTGAAACTAGAGATTGAGACCATAAACTCATGTTCACAATGTTTACTGAGGTAATAAATCAAAAGAGAAGTATAGTCATATTCTCATAGACTTCTATACAATCAGAGGAGTCGCCCCCTGCTGGTCAGTAAAGAGAATGCAAGTTTTAAGACACTTCTGCATCGGCTTCACTCGGGAGAACCGGAGGTATTTAACATGCAAACATTGATCAATGTAAACTGCAGTTCATGCACTTTCTAAATTTTTAGAAGCTTTAATTATTTTATACAGAACTCGGTAGCATGAGAGACCGACCTGCATTTGGACCTGCACTTAATTCACCTTAACAAGTACTCAGTGTTTCCCTCGATATTGGATTTGAACCATCTGTATCAGCGCACAGCCACAGTCTGTCTCCTGCCTGCACACACACGCACACACACACACACACACACACACACACACACACACACAGGTCCATACAATTTTCTCAGCTACCAGAGTCCATATCTTATGTGTTTAAGTGCACTACATTCTGCCGCCATTCAGCTTTAAACAATGCAGTCTGCTGAAAAATCGATGCGCAGAAGTGACGGTTTATCTCGTGAAAGCGAGGGTGTTGTTTTGCCTCCTGAATGGGTTTTCGAAGGGATCGGGGTGCTTTTTGTCTGATGTCCTCCACACGCGGAGTAAACGGCTGCTCTCCTGAACTGTTCCCGGAGACTCTCCCTGCCCTCCGGTCTTTCACCAGCACTGCACTCCTCGCCCCTTGAATATTTTTTGTTTCTCAAATTCTCTCCACTCGCTGACCTTGGATTGTTCTCTGTCCAAATATCGATCCACTCAAACACTCAAAACTTCTCCCGGAGACACAAACAACCTCTGCCCTTCGGCACCTCCAGCATCTTCTTCAATCAATGCCATTAGGGAAGGCAGAGGAGAGGCCGAGATCGTACTTTTAGTGTCAGATGGTCTTGATTTGACGGAAAAAAATATTTTCCACGCCGGTGCGGCCCTGCTGATTACCTGTGTCCTGTCAACAGTAATGCCCACCATTGAGAAGCTGCTGAATGCTGACTGGAAGGAGAAACTTCTGGATAAAAGCACAGTGGAGGCAGCACGACTGAAAGGTCAGCTTTCAAACACCAACAGCACCTTTATACCGTTTATACACCACTTAAATACACACCACTGTTTGATTGTGCAAATATTTCTTTTTTACCGTGGTATTGAATCGGTATTGATATCAAATACTAGATTTCTGGTGTCTTGGCATCTGTAGAACAGAGGTCTTCATAGACCTTTTCTGTGAAAACAGCTGGCTCTTAATGCCGTAAACAAAACCATGAGAGTGTTGAGACTGAACCAAAACAGTTGTGGGCCAAACAGTTAAAGAACGATCTTAAACTCCCTATAAAGCTGAGGGGATCTGCAGATTCAGATTCATCATTATGAGCGATCCCGTTACATTGTCATTTGATATATTTTTATAGCAAAAATACAGACTGCAGGCTGCTTTAAAAATGTAATTTATTCCACTAAACATTGTAAAGATGTATAGAGACCGATAACAACCCAACACTGATCGTGGTTCAGTTTGAGACCTGACCCTCTGACCCCACCCCCCCCTTCTAGGTACCCCAGAGGCTTTGGCAGAGAAGGAGCTCCAGTTGCTGATGATGATCAACCAGCTGAGCGGTCTGAGGGAGCAGCTCCTGGGAGCCCACTCTGAGCAGAGGAACATGGCCGCCCTGCTGCTGGAGAAGCAGCAGCAGCAGATGGAGCTGGCTCGGCAGCAGCAGGAACAGGTACCACCTAGAGGTGTCCGATCACGAACCGGACCCAGATCCTAGGGAATCCCAGGAGCTAGATCAGGAACTACAAGTCCCTTCTGTGCAACTGTTTATTCAGCTCTATCTGTCACTCACAGGTTACTTATCTCACTCTTTTTGGACACTAAATAGAAACTCAACACACTGAGATTTGTATGACTTTAATGTATAAATCAGTAACATTAGAAGGAACCCTCATCCCTCATCCCTCATCCTACCATTGATACCAATTACTAGTGCTTCTTGCAGTCTAAATGGTGCCACCACTTTATCATTGCACTTCTACAACACTGTCAAAAAAAGGAGCAAAATCAATGCAGCGGAACCAGAGATATTGTTTTTTTTTATTCCATGTATCTTTCTTTCTTATCAAAACCTTGCACCTATATTACCCACAATGCAATTCGGCCTTTGAGGGTTCAGTCTGAGATTCAGGAGCGGGCTACAGAGGTCTGCTCACTTTTTTCTTACTCCACACCCCTAGATCATCAAACATGTATTCTTCAGCCCTACTCTGACTCAAGTGACATAACTTGAGGCCATTTATCAGACTTCAGACAACTCCCTCTGTTTTCACATACGCAGTAGTACTCCCCAAGACCTGTGAACACACTTTGATGAGTAAAGTAAAGTCACTGGGGTTTCCCTTTAAAACAACTCTACCCAGACAGTTCCCAGGCCAAAACTAGCTTTCTGCAGTTAAAATGCAAGTTCATAACTTTCTAAAAACAAAAAAGGTTATGATGAAATTCTCTGTTACTAATGCGTCTTAATAATACATATCATCTCACTATGTATATCGGGCATTTCTCAATATGTTTCAATTGTCGTTTCAGTTCATCAATGTTTTTAGTAATTCGACTTTAAAAAAAAATATTCATACATTCTGCAGTGAAGTGCACTCAGGTTGAGTCCCTGAATGAAGCCCTGATCATGGTCTCCTTCACTGTGTGCACTTGTGTCTGTTTGCCACATGCATGCATGTGACCAAAACACACATCTGGTGTTCTCAGATCGCCAAGCAGCAGCAGCAGCTGATCCAGCAGCAGCACAAGATCAACCTGCTTCAGCAGCAGATCCAGGTCAGCTCCCCTCATGACCTCCAGAGGTTCTTCACATAAGACAGCCATCGCAGCGTCACAGCCTCTAGAGGAAAATAACTTTCATGTGTCTGTGCTGCCTCGTCCCAGCAGGTGAACATGCCCTACGTGATGATCCCGGCTTTCCACCACAACCCCCAGTCCCTCGCCTCCGACTCCCAGATGACCCTGCCGCTGCAGCCGATCCCCTGCAAGCCAGGTCAGTCGTCAAGCTGGCGGAAAGAGAGGTTCCAGCCTTGGGGGGGGAGTTGGGCCGGGACACACTGGCCCCCATGAAACCATAAAGCCACTGTTGCAAAGGGCAAAATGAAAGAAATTCAATCTAATGTAAATTTGAATTTACATTTATTACGTAGTTATTACACAAAGCATGCAATATCTTTTCAAATGTTTTTAAAACATAATTAGCCAAGACAACAAAACATTGTATTACAACACAATTGACAGAGGAAGAACAGTCCCCGAAATAAATAACTCCATATCAAAGTTATGATGAAAGCGTGGCTACATTTTACTCCAGTAGGTGCCGATAACGCTCATTGTCACAAATGCAATAAAACCCTCACTAGTGAGGGAGGAAACAGCAGCGATCTCTGAAAACATCTGGCCAACAAGCAGAACAGAAATGAGCAGAAATGCGCCGTTTTCTACCGTTTGTCCAGCGGCCGTCCATCCTCGTCCTAAACTAATCGCTTAGCTCATGTATTATAACGATTTTGGATCTTCTTGTATTGCTGCTCAAGGAAGACTATTTGTTTACATACAAGAATAATGAAGCAATGTAGATTCTTTACTAATTAATTGTCCTTTTTTCTCACAATCTAATCATAAAGAACTAATAAGAGTATCGATAAGGAACCGAACCGATAAGAGCACTAGTATTGATAAAATCCTAATGATACGCACCCCATGTCTTCACCCTCACATGTTTTTGAAGAGAAACTTAAGCATATTTAAGCACTTCAACCCAAGGCCCCACTTTGACGGAAATGGAAAGGCGTCAGTGAGCTCCGAACGCCGTCTTCAGTCGAACAATGCGGCTGATGGTAGCTTTCAAACACTCTCGCTTGCACAGTTATTGCAGCTTTGTGCAGTCCTGCTTTCACAAGTCTTACAAGCTGTGCTCGTGGGTGACCTTGTCTTTCTCTGTCTTTTCAAACCCAAAAGACACAAGGCCGGTCTCCAAAACATTGTAGGCGCAATTTAAGGATAGCCATTCATTTGCTTTCATGAAACGCGTGTGTGTGAGTGCTTCAAAATGTTTTGGAAGATGAATGTAAAAAGATTGTTGAAGGACTGTTGAATTGTGTGGTAGAGGTCAGCTATAACCAGACATTTGAGGCCGTCTTTTCTTCGAGGGGGATGGAAGGGAATAAGGGAAGTGTTTCGTTTCATTTGGTTACTGGCTTTTATTAGTTTCCTCATTTGCATTTAACTTCACTATTGACTTCAAGGCTGTGTGATGAAAGAGAACCAACATGTAATTTGTTCAAATGTATCGTAGCACAACTCTAGCCTAACCCTGAACTATGTTGTAAAGTGGACGTTGCTCCATTCATTTTACCTGAGATAACAAGACACTACTTACGCTATGAAGTCAGCAAACCGCCTCTAAAACCCATTTGGCCATATTGTTATGTCCAAATGGGTTTTACTCTTCTATTGCTTAATAGGGATGTTGGATTCAAGGTTCTTTCTGCATTAGTGATGAAGAATTTCTATTTGTCAGGTATTTAACTGATTTAGTCAAAAGATAGAGAAACAACCACTGACTGAAACAAAATGATCAAACCTCATAGAATATTCTAAAGAAATTAAAAAACAACTAAACTAGTAGAGATATTTATGGAGACCTAAAGTGTTCAAAACTATACGTATATTTATAGATGGGATGGATGGATGGATGGATGTATATACAGTATATATACATACTGTATATAGTGTTGAACACTTAACTCACTGCGTGCACTACAAATAGGAAATAATGCATAATGCATTGTCAAAATGCCAAATGAACTATGAGGGACACAGTCACAAACCGCTGATAGCACGTTGAATCGTGCATCACTTGCAACGACTTTGTGCCCCGTCCCAAGGTCTGACTCACAACCGGTAATGCACCAATGGCATTACGAAGGCACACGCTGCCATAATGTTTTGCAACTAAACGCGAAATTTGCCCTTTTTTAATCGGCGGTAGAAATGATGTGTTTATTTGTTTATATAGTAATAACTTATTTTTCAATCATTTTTTCCCTCACGAATTTTTCAAAATGACATGCAGGTGAGCTTTATTCATTTATTTATCATCGTCACCCCTTCACCCCAAAAAAATGGGAGTTTAAGCGGCACCCACCACCAACTTTCCGAAGATGCTAATCATTTCACTGTAACTGCGTGTGGCTATCGGCGCTGATCTTTTTGAGTTTGACTGTTTTTACGACGAGGCTGCTTTGTTTAGAAAGGGGAAAAATGTCTGTGTATTACCTAAATGAAATACTCTCAAATCGCACAGGAGCTCTGAGACGCTATATGCTAGGGGGTGCACTTCACCTTCAATTACACGCTTTCTTTTTGTCCCATTTGCGCAGGTTTAGTGGTCGCAAAAGCAGTGCGATCCTTTTGTGAATTTGCTCGTCAGTAAACTATGAGAAACCAAAGTGAAACACTGTGGCATGTCATAAACACCTTTCCTTTTTTATAATGTATTTACCGTTAGCTAGCGTCACTCACCCCACCCCCGTCAAGAAGAGGAGCGGCGGTTCCTTCCGAGTTACTTACCGTTAGCTGCTAATAGTCACTAAACTCTGTGTTCTGGAGTAACCACACAGGTATTTTCGGTGTTGATGTTATTCTTAAACACCTTCCACAGCAGTGGACTATCCCATGCAGCTGCTGCAGAACCCTCACCCCACCCCCGTCAAGAGGAGCAGTTGTTCCTTCCGACAGGTACCGTAGCACTGCAGTATACGTGTTGTGCGTTAGCAATTTCATTGTTTATCTTAATGTGACAAACCTGTTTTACATATCCTTTGAATTCAAACAGCCGCAATGGACACGCCTACATTATACACACAAAATACAACCCATGGCAGTGTGTTTATTTAATGTACACGTTGTGTATCTACTGCACGCTGTATGTGTGTGTTTTAAGGGATGTTACAAAAGTGATTCCCTCCAGGTTAAACAGATAATGCACGACTCTGGAATTTGGGAGGCTGAAAAGGTTTTTTCGAATACACCACACCCTCTGCTTGTGTGTGCGTGTGTGTGTGTGTGGTGTGAACTGTGTTTGCACGACTAGTTCTCAAGCAGAGATAGACTAACACAGCTTAGATAAACAAAAGGGAAGAGAGGATGAGGTGAACACGAAGACAAAAGACCAGCGACGCCACAAAGGTGTGACAGATGCGCTCCGACATGCCAAATCTGCCGTGCATAACCGGAATCCCTCGCCCTTTGCAGTTGCGCTGGAAATGTGCGCCAGTGGCCCCGCCCCTGCTCACCTGCTCTCGCTGTGTGTGTGTGTGTGTGTGGGTGGGTGGTTTTTTTTAGGAAGCCAGTCAGCCCTTAAACCTGACCTCCAAGCCGAAGGGGCTGGAGCTGGGGAAAACCCCAAGTCCGCAGAGCATGGAGCTGGGATCGCTGGCTCTGCACGGGGCCTACAGGCCCAGAGACCTCCAGAGAGAGGTGTCCCGCAGCCCGCCACGACCTGCCCTCAGTGAGTCATGCTGCTGTGAGGATTTGTGATCCCAAAAGGGGGGGTGGGGGGGGGGGCATGTTGCATCGCCACAGCTCCTCAAAGATGCTCGCATCTAAAGAAGTGTTTTTTGACACCCTTTGTGTTTCTGGTTTGTCTCAGTAACAGGGTCTCCTTCGGGCTTATACAACTCTTTTTAAAGGAACCACTAGTGGCGCTATTGAGCAATGTTTTTAAGAGTCGGTCCCCGTTTTGATTGTGAATCAAGAGTTCCAAAACTCTACACATTTCAAAGGAGTGACAATGTCGCTCCATCTATTGTTTGTCGTTACTGACTCAACCCAAAGCTTTCACATTTGGTGTCTTTCCTTAAAGGGGCACTACGCCCATTTTTTTTTAAATTCACATGTTATTTCATTGGTCTAAGATGGGCCAAAAATATTAGTGAACATGAGCAACTCTCCCAAATTCAAAAACTAGAGTCCTAAAACTTACAATTCGTGGTGTCATCAAATATAAGGCCAGGAACTGCCCCAAAGACAATGAACTGGGGAAGTTATAGAGGACACAGAGCACCACGGGAATGTTTTCAGTATATGGGTACATTTTCTGTTTCACTACAATAGGATAAAGCTCATTTGGGAATAAAAGCAAGAAAACAAACAAAATCAGTCCTCCATTCATTGTCTATGGAGCAGCTCCAGACTTTATACTTGTTGACATCACAAGTTTTTGACTTGCTTCTCTGGTTGCTGCTTCGAGAGAGAGAGTAGCTCATGTTCACAAATATTGACTGAACTTTCCAAGGCCCTGAAAATAACTTATTGTAATTCTTAATTTAGAATTAATATCAATTGAAATGTGCAGAAGAGAACAGAGGCGAGGTTCATTGTTTTCTGTCTTCCTCCTTGACCTGTGTTTTTGTCTTCAGGTTTCCTCGGAGATGGCGACGTGGTCACCCAGGCCATCCATGACGCCCAGCAGCTCCTGAGGGGCCACAGCACCACAGGGCGAGAGAGGGACAGGGAGAGAGAGAGAGACTGCGACAGGAAGATGGTGAGATGGTGACCGAACCGCAAAGTCCACACACGCCCAGTCACCAGGTTTCTGTTCAAAGGTCCTTTCAGACACGCACCGCGTTACGTAAACGATGATGGCACATCGACATTACTCTTACATCGAAGTCAAAAAGACTTCACATCTTTTTGAAATGTGTCTGGTTGTCAATGAAGAAATGTATTATGTTGTGTGTCCCACCACCTGATGAATTTAAGTCCAATATTCAAACTCTTTTTGCTCTGTTTTTGGTCTCTACCAACTCCTGAGGGAAACATCAGTCTTTTTAGCTGCTAAATGCTCCAGTATGTTGGTCAGACAGTAGCTAACCGTGTCTGTCTGCTGTTTGGTGCTGAGCTGGTAGTGTACGGTGCGCTTTTTCTCTGAAAACAGCTGCCTCCTATGGCCACAATCACCCGCTCCGATTGTTATCAGTCGATTAAATGTCCGTTATCAGCCTCATAGATATGGGTCACAAGTGGCCCCCTAGGTTCAGAAGGCCGTTATTATCTGTTAACGTGGTTGATCACTAATGAAAATACAACAAGATGAAACCGACCTCTAGTGGCCGTGGTATTGCCAAGGAGGGAGTCACAGGACTGTCATCCAGGAGACCGCAGTTGGTGTCTCGTCTCAAACCAAAAACTCTTATTTTAGCTTACGTTTACATACTTACATTTCCATAATGAACACCGGTGTCTGAATTACAGAAGAGCCCTTTACTTGACTTCTACATTTAACCTCTCGCAGAATTGAAAGCCTCTAAAACTGCATTTTGATCATTTCACCACAGAAATTCAGAATGATGAGATTATCTTATGATCATACAGGAAAGGCCAGAGTATCAAACCTGAACGTCATTGGCTGGAGTTTGTCTAATGAGGAAACTCTCTTCCCCTGACTGGCATCAAGGGGTCCGATCAGGGGTCAGAGTCGGGTTTAGGGTTACAGGGAGTCATGCCTCTCCCGAGGATTTGACCAGCTGTAGTGTAACCACGCACAGAAGCACATTGTAACAGCTCAGCGTTATCTGAGGGAAAATAAACACTGTGTGGAAAAAAAAAAAGACAAAGAAGTTATGTGTCTGTTTTTTCTATTATTAGTAATTGAAAAGAGGCATTGATTCAGTGTCCCCTGACAAAGATGCTCTTCCTCTTTGTGCGAGTGCAGCCGTGTGCGACGGTAGAAAAAGTACAGAATGTCTGCACACAACGAATTCAGTGTGGAGCAAAATGGAAACTCTCCTTTCGGGAAAAAAATCGTGCATCTCGTGTAGATCTCGTTTTTTCAACAATACATATTGTGTCTAAAAAAACAACCTGGCTGTTACTTTTTTGTTTTGGTTCTTGTAAAAATTGTCTTCTATTCTGGTCTCCTGGTTCTTCATTCTTTGAGGTGGCTGAAGCTTTGGTCTGAGCCTCGTCCTGGAGCAGCAGCTGTCACAGCCTCACAATAACCACAAAGGCCTCAGTGTGGCATTGACCGAGCCACCTGCCCTCTCTCTCTTTGTCCACAGTAATACTGTACTCTCAGCTCTCCTCCTCCTCTGCTCCATTATCCCGCTCCATCTCGCCTCGGCTGCTTTAACACCAATACCGATGACTGACCTATTTTGGTATTACACTCTACCGAATGGGGGATCACTCATGTTTTACAGCACAGTGGGGGGATGATAGATACGCTGACGGTGTGGTAGTTTACATTCCCGGCTTCTCCTCCCCTTCACCTCTCCTCCCTCAAACAATAAACACCATTCTTCCTTCCCTCCGTAGCGTTGTCATTCCCCTCCTTTGCATTTACAGCTCTGCATTTAAACAGCAGCTGATATGGTGAGCGTGCAGTTTCTTTACCTTAAATAGCATTCTGTGAAACACCCGTGTTGGACAGCGTTGTACACGCCCCTCGAACATGTGGGTGATCGTTTTTACTGCGGCCGGAGATCAAATCGCCTCTTTGTGCCGGAGTGTGAATATATGTGTGACTTCATCTGTCTTTGTCTTTCTTCATGTCTTCAGGAGTACAAAGATTCTCCCCGCAGCGAGAGAATCTGTCACTCCGAGCGGGGCGAGGACCACCTCAGCAGTGACTCCGAGGGTAGGTGTCCAGGGAGAAGCCCGTTTGTTAATAATGAGGGCCTTCTTCGTTAGTGGTTGACAAACGTGTCGAATAATCACGTGTTTAATAATTACTTTTTGGTGACACTATATGATGCATTATAAACATGCTCGTAATGCCTTATAACCTGCTTATAGCACTGTGTGATTATAGTTAGAACAACCATCTTTATTATTCATAATAATACTCAAAACACATTATAAAGCATTTTATAATTACTCACAAAGTCAAGTATCGTTATACTTTATAATGGCTGGTCACTCGTTAACATTTCATAATACACTATGATCCTTGCAAAACAAAATGTCAGTGAGTGACCAGCAATTATAAAGAAATTATGACAGTACATTATGAAATGCTTTATAATGTGTTATGATTATTGTTATAAATCCATATGAATAATGGTGCATAGAACTATAATCACAAAGTGATATAAACAGATTATAAGGCATTACAAGTTTGTTTATAATACATTATAAACATAAAAGTGTCACAAAACTTTGTTTCAAAGGCAGTTTACCATATTTGTAATGTTTACTATTACCCCCTCAGAATATCGGATTCACATTTGAATATCCCCAAACAATAATTCTGCTGTATCAGAATATGTCATCATCTTCTTGAAGAGTGGTTGGTAAACAGACCAGATGTTTCTGGTACAGAGACCCTGAATGGAGAACGTGGGTGGGGAAAGGGAACCATGACTGCCTGTAAAATCGTTTTCTGGGTGAAGAGAAAGTTTCCTTTCAGATAGTAAAGGTTAATAACCAGGTGAGGTCTCAGACCTCCTCATGACTCAACAACAGAGTAGGTTGTTTGCCAACGACTCCAAAAACGACATATATAACATATAAAACGTTGTGACACTGCCACAGTTTTACACACCTGGTTGTGAAACATAACTTCTTTGTTAGGTTTAGGTAGAGATCATGGTTTGTGTTAAAATAACATAGGTACGTGACGTGGTTACGTACTACCATATTTAAATACATACTAACATAGTTACATACTTACTAGAGTAGCACATAGGTACTAACTTAGTTACATACGTACTAAATAGTTACGTACTAACGTAGTTACATAGGTACTAATGTAGCTACATACGTACTAACGTAGTTCTGTACTAAGGTTGTTACGTACTTACATAGTTGCATATGTACTAACGTAGTTACGTACTAATGTAGTTACATACGTGCTAATGTAGTTGCATACATAATAACATAGTTAAATACGTACTAATATAGTTGCATACTAGTAGCGTAGTAACTTACTAACGTAGTTACATACGCGCTAATTCAGTTCAATTTATTTTGTTTAGCTCAAAATCACAAATTTGCGTCAGTAACAACATATTCAATGCATATGACATAAATGATTAATTAAATGAGAGTAGAATGTAGTTGCATACGTTAATTACAGAGTTATGTACTAACATATTTATGTACTAATGTAGTTACGTAGGTATTTAGTAATGTAGCGATGCACTCTGCAACTTCAAATAACGCAACATGTCGACCATCGGTTTTATTACGGGACAGGAACAACAGTCTCCGGGGTGAAAGTCCTGTGTTTGTTTGACCTGTATATCCACCCTGACTTTGTTGCTCTTAATACTTCCTCCTTTGCCCGTCATAATCACTAGGGCCACTAGAGTTTGCCGCCTGACAGCAAATAAGCTCGTAATAAGTCGTAATAAGCTCCTTGGACAGACGATCGATCCGATTTTTGGCGATGGCGGCTTGAAATAGATTAACAACAAGAAGGAAAAGAGACATATTTAAGGGGGAATAAGTACTATATCACAAAGCCGGCAGTTTGGTGTGCACTCCTGACTGTAGCCCTCTTTCCTGTAGGTGCCCTGCCCGTCTCGGGCCAAGGCAGCTACGTTGAGGTCCGGCCCCCTCCCTCCTCGGGCCACATCAAGAGACCCATGAATGCCTTCATGGTGTGGGCCAAGGACGAGCGCAGGAGGATCCTGCAGGCCTTCCCCGACATGCACAACTCCTCCATCAGCAAGATCTTGGGTAAGCCTTGCACAGGGTAGGGGTGGGTGCCTCTATTCTGAGACGCTGCCCCGCATATGGGAAGGCACCAACAGCCACCTGCTTGTCCCACCAGACACCACACACACACACATACTGGCCTGAATCCCTTTCCTTAGACCAAACATTTCCATTCCACTGTTGTGGAGAGCTTGTCGTTCACACGGACACACAGACAAAAATATACGGTTAATCTATTTAATTACACAAGTGTATTCCTAATTACTATTTAAATACCTCAATCTACAGAGATTTGTTTTCTCCAACACACTCACACAATGCTGGAATCATTGAGGTCCATGTATGTGCAGGTTTTCACACCACCTGTTATCTCACTCCTCTCCGGGTGAGGATGTGTGAACCACACCTTTACCCAGCGACCAGGAACCAATCACATCATCTCTGGACTCGTGGTTTCAGAGTTTGAATTCCGTCAGCACAAGTGAATACTGACGTACTTTGTAATGAAAATAAGTTAAAGAACACTTCAAACTTTTGTCTTTAACTTTTTCCGTGGTTCCAGGCCACAGTCACTTAATTATGAAACCTCTTCAAGAGAAATTTGCTAAATTTAAAGGAACAGTGTGTAGGATTTAGTGGCATCTGACAATGTTGCAGATCAAAGCCAACTGAGTACCCCTCCGCTCACCCCTCCCTTTCCAAGCGAGGCCCTCTCTAGAGCCACTGTTTGGTTTGTCCAATATTGACCAATATCAGAACGTTACGATGGCCTTAGACTAGATATTGTTGAACATTAGTTTAAATGAATGTGTGAATTCTACATGTGGTGACACAGGCGAGCTCACAGACAGATTAGGAACCTTTATAAATCAATAAAGACATGGTTAATGAGATGAAAACACATACAAAGTGGGACAATTGTGTGATTTAAACAGCTTTCTATGCAGATTAAGCTTAGCTTCTAAAAACGTTTTCATCGGCCGTTATGCTAACGCATAAAGATCCCAGCCGAACACTAAAAACTAAATAAACCTTTTAAGCATGCTCTCATCCCAGCCCTGACTTGCTGCTGGAACACTTCTCCACCGTGCATTGACTCTTTCTCCTCATTCCCCCCCCCCCCCCCC